TTTTTGGTGAAATTTAACGCTCCTGAAGTTCATAAAAAGAAACCCACCATTTTCGGCGACGAGCAAATTTCAAAATAATACCTTTCTGGCACCGACCAAGATAATTAAGTGATTCCCCTTAAAGAGCGTTTACTTTGTGCATTGAATAGTATATAATGCAAAAAAAACTTACCACTGAAGCCCAAAAGACGTAATGGTGCTAATATGATGTGGAGCAAAGGAAGGTTTGAAAGCGTGTTGAACAGAATGGTAGAAATACGTCAAAAATTACTTATTTTGTCTTTCAACTCCTTCATTTTGTTGAGGAGAGTGTCGATGTCTTTTCTTAGCTGGCTAACATCGTTGCTGGTTCTTTTGCCAAGTTCGATAACCACGTCTGCCTGTGGTCTCACGTTCTCTAGCGCACCGGAACTACTCTTGAACTCATGTTGCACTTGGCTGTATAGATCATCCTCCTTGTCTTGTTCCTTGCTGAGCACCTCCGTCTCCTCAATCTGCTTAACCATCTAGAAAGGGGAGAAAATGCATCAACTCAGCATCCTATTCAGTGAGACAGCATCGCCTAAGCTCAAAATTGAAGTAATGTGGGGAGTCAAGAATAATGCCCTTCTACAAAGTTTGGTAGCTCGACTTCTTTAGCACTAGCACCGACTGACTGACAAAGTGCAAAATGGAGTGTTCAATCACTAAGATGGAATTGAGGTAGACCCCTGCTTTTCCGTACCAGTGAGATGGGTGAAGTCTATCGTGTGGCCTTCGGCCAAAACATGTAGTCCAGATAGCAGTGACACAAATGCAAGCAGTGCGTATCCACATTCGACATTTGTCCTCATACACAATCACCTGACTGGTAGTTGAACCAAATCATGTAGCTTCTTCTGAAAGACTTTCGATGCTTAAGTCTAGGATCTCCAGGTCAGCACAATCGGTAAATAATTTCGAAGGTTAAATATAAATTTGGTCTCAAATTTTTGTCAAATCTACTTACTTGTAGCCACATAATACCGCAAGCAATGATGAGATTTTCATCCGGCTTGACACACGACTACTTTTTTCTGAGCAGTGACAAAAGTAACATGAAGAAATGTATTTAAATGGTCACAAGGGCTGAACAAAAGTGAGGTACACGCCCCACATTTTGCACCGAGGAACTAGTCACTACCACTTCCTTCTTAAATTCGGACGCCTAATGATGAGCGCCAACAAGTACGCACACAATTAATTCAGATAATGACTAGAGAATCTCAAAAAGCCACCAACGTCTACGACTTTGGAGCCGTAGGCGCCGCAACTGCTACAATTGCTTCTCTGTTGAGCTGGGATGCCCTTCACGAGTCGTTTGCGTCTTAAAGCTGGATGTGTTGGAGTCGAGTGCACTGATTTGAACCTCGATAGCAAAAACAGAAGCGTATTGACGACGATAAGTACATCTCGCTGGGTAGAGGAAGGAGTTTGGTGTCTGAAAATGCCCTTCATTTACCGGCAAATTTTCACAACACATGAAAAATGGAGGACAAAATTAGTGCAAAATTATCAAGCATCACATTTTTAATAGCTATGTGCGTAAAAAGTAGAGAAAGGTATTAATAAAGTGAACTCTTTTAAGCACAAAGGACAAAGTCTCTTACGTTATCTTTTACTTTCTTAATTTTATCATTGTAAAAAGCCGCAGTCGTCTGCGATACTTGAGCCGCGTTAAGAGCGTCATCGACTTGAATGTGGATGCCCTTTATTTGCCGGTCAATTTTCTCGAGGTCTTCGTTGACCTCCGTACCCATAACGTTCATCGCTTCCAATTCCTTTTTGGTACCACTGACATAGGCATCGAAATCTGGAAGAGTGTGAGATGTTTGTTTTTACTTTATGCAGGTTAACGAGCACTCCTTTTGCGTTCAAAATGTTTTGTCGGATTTTGGACAAGATGCGATTTCTTT